TTTCGTTCTTAGAATTGAGTGCAAATATATAGGGAAATATATTTTACTGAACGAAAAATTGGAGATTCTAGAGTGACAAACTAAAATCGCCAATTTAGTCTTTGTGTTTAAGAACTAAAGCAAGAGTTAGCCTTAAGGGAAAGGGAAGTGGGAGCTCTGGAGTGAGAGTCAGTATCCTCCCAGCCTAACCACGGATTTAGAGACTAAACCTAAGATTGACCAATGATTCTCTATAACACTTAACTGAGGGTAGAGAATTAAAACTGCTCCTATTTTGCATAATACAAATTCAAACCATTTATCTCAATCACTAACCAAAAATTCATTGTAGTGGGAAGGATACTTTCTTAAATTTGAACTCTTCATCATAAAATTTTATTTAGTCAGTAAATTTAACTTTAAAGTTTATAAATAAATTTAGTAAACTTTGTTTCATTAGCATACATTAAAACCACTTTAATCAAACTTCCAAATTAATTGCTTATAGTAGTAGACTAGAATTAGCCTAAGGGATTTCTTACCTCGCTTCTTCGTGGGATCGATACTGGGGTTTTTAAAGAAAGTCTTATATTACTTGAAGTGATACGCACACTTGCATAGAATCCATAGTGTGTGAACTTATTTCTACATTTTATAATATTTTGATTTTACATATTGGCTGCTGCATATAAATTGGGTCAAATTTTTTATCATCTTTTGAAATTTAAATTACTGCGTAACTGCTGGTCGGGTTAAGTTTTTTATGTCGTCTTAGAGAAATTAAATTGATATAAAACACGCAAAAAAATAACACACACTAGGGGTGCATCAGTGGTCAGAATTGGTTTTTAGTGAAGTTTGGAATGCTTTTGGCGATTTTGTCAATTTTTAGGGTTTCAGAGGTATTTTGGTAATTTTGGATGTTGTTGTGAGTATTTTGGTAATTTTGAGGATTTTAGGGGGTTTTGAACAATTGGGGTAATTTGAAGTGGATAAATATAATTTTTGATGAAGAATTGGGAGTTTGGGCCATTTTGGGAATTTTAGGGTTTATGGGGCATTTTGGTAATTTTTGGGGAAAATTGGGGGCAAAAGGCCAAAGTGAGATGTTTTAGTATAATTAGAATTGGTTGAACATGTTGACCATGCAAACCATGGAACCACTCCCTTTGAGGCTGTATGCCCCATGGGAGAGCTCATTTTGGATCATCCACATATTGGTTCGGGCCTCTTAGTCAAAGCTAACGGCTTGGGACCACCCACATGAGTTTACAAAAGACGCTGGGAAAAAAAGGGTAAGTACAAGTGATTTGTAGTGTTAGGATGTGTGGGAAATTGTGGTGAGCTCTAATGTGTGTGACCAAGACCAAGCCAACCAAGGCTACCCTAAGGCTTCTAAGTCCTAATGGGACCTCTCTTTGACCTTTCTCATGTTGGTCCCAACCTTCAAAGTGCTAGAGGTTAAAACCATAAATGTGAAACTCCATAGAGACTAAAGAAGTTGTTTTGAAATTCTAAGGGATATGGGTTCCATCATTAGTCCTCCAAGATAGTCAGCAAGAAAGTCTTATGCCTAGATCCTACGCTCCTATGAGAAGAAGACTAGACCTCATCAAAAGCAAGACCAACAATAATCAAATAGTATAGTAAGACCACACTAAACATGGTTCTCCCTGGATGAAGCCAAATTAATGCTAGAAATTGAATATAAAGCCTTAAATAAAAATCATGAACCTTGATGTCAATCATTGGAGCATGAAGCAAATACTTATTTATACAAACAAAAGAAAATAATTTGTTAAGAAGAAATCCCAAACAAATTGAATAAGGACCCATAAAGATGATGACAGTTATGTTGAATGATTAATCCAAACTCATTTCTGTTAGTAGTCAGGCTTCGTAGCTACTTTTAATTAGATTTGCATCACATGACCTAAGGATTCCAAGATCTTATGGATACTTCAAGTATGACACCTATCTTAGAAATATTTGGTGCTAAAAGCACAAAAATTATGAGCAAGGGCAAGCCAAAAAAGAAAATATTTTGATGTAACAAGGAAGCTAATGCCTTGTGGATGATGTGTGTTTCAAAGGAATACAATTAGAGAAGCCATAAAATGAGGCCAATCATTTCACACAGGGAAGATGTTAACAAAGCAAAGCAAAATGTCCATTGACAAATCTTTGCTACAGCCAGAACAAGTTGGTCATGCTATCTTTTTTAGGTAAAGCTGGGCATGCTATCTTTTTAATTTAGGTAAAAAGAAGTTTTCTCTTTAGCTAAAAAGGATGTGATAGTGAAACATAAAACTTAAACCATAGCACTGATATAATTTGAGAACTTTAGGACCTAATCTAAGTGGATTTGTTGATAGTGGACGTATTGCTGATAAAATGAATGTGGACGAATCAGATTAATTAAAAGTTTATCACATATTTCTCGAATAACTAATAACTTCTTTTTAACCAAATACAAGCAGTTACAATATGGCTATTCCGTAAGGTTTTCATCAAAGAATAACAAATCTAAAGAATTCTAAAAAACCAGAAAGTGTTGAATTTCACACTGTGTAAAGACAATATTTTAAACTCGTTCAACAGCATCATTGAAAGAGGACTATGTTCTACAGATTTCTTTTTCCTCCAAAAAAAAAAAAAAAAAAAAAAAAAGAAAACAAAGTTTTTTCAGGCACTGCATAAAAAACCGGATTCAGAAATGATTTAACAAAAGAAAACTTTAGAATTTTGTGAAGTTCTCCAAAATCTGTCATTTGGTCGCATATGTTTGTTTCTTTCTCCAACAACTCCCAGCCAAAATGTCAACCATTTCATTCTCACACCAAACCAATTATTAAAAGCATGATAAAAAATATTGAAAGTCTATAACCAATGATGAAATTAGCTTTGATTAAGTTAAAATTTTGCTGAAAGTGACCTCAACCAAATGAGTTAAGTTTTAAGGATTAATTAATAGATTCTAATAGCTAGTATTTCATGGAGCTCAGAATTCTATGACATGGAGTATAAATAATTATTTAAAGCTCAACTACAAAGAAGTATAAATTACAGATGCACATGAAAAATTATTAGATGCGGAGCACGTCATCATGTTTGTGAATTGATCCTCTTAATTGGTTGTTCATACGTGCGGACTTTGCATATAATAATTTCTCACATTACACGGGTTTTCAAATCCCATATGCTTATTTCTAAAGAAAATGAAGAAATAAAGAATCCATATGACGTAGCGCATAAAGAAGAAAACTGGTAGTTAATTCCTGATAGTCAAACCTAATGCGTGGCTATATCATTGACATTTTGCCAAATGCCTTATTTTTTGGGTAATAGAACTCATCTTTTATTATCAAAGGAAAGAGATTCAAAAGCTAAGTTCAGTCGCACGTGAGGCTACCTTTGTAGATTTCTACAATTCCACGTGTCAATGATCATAACCATGCTCCTTTATTCAATGATGCCAGTTAAAATTTTTATAATTTATTTTCAAAATATATGCAGTTGAATAATATTCATGAAATAGGACAATATCCCAAGAAAATCTACCATAGATTGGCAATCTGAGTTATCAAGTTTTATAGTTGTAGAATATTGTAGAATAGGTAAATACAGTAAGGATAGGTAATTAAAAGCTGAAAACTATATGCTCGCCTGCAATCTATTTGCTTCACAAATATTTTTCATATATTTTTTTCTTATTTTTCACTTGATTTGGATATGAAATTACTAATGATAGTTTGTTCATATTTTCTACGAAATTTTAATTATCTTTTAATTAAATTTAAACTAAGCAAAAGAAAATGGAATGCAGAATGAAAATTATTTGTATATCATATAACTTATAGCCAAACAAACCCTAGAGACTTGGATTTCAATTTACAGTTAAATCAAAATTGAATCAAATAAATACAATTATATCGTTTACATAGTTTGATTTAATTGCACATAGTATCTAGCCAGCTCAATTTTATAAACAAATAAAAAAAAAAAAGTGGGGTACACTGATTTATCAACACAATCAGTTAATTGGTTTACAAAGTAGGAGCAACGGAGGCATCATGATGCACATACAATACATAAGAAATAAGACTAGACTCGATACAGAATGCTTGAATACAATAAATGCATCATTGCAAGTTTGCTTTCAAACCTCTAGATCATAACAATAAGCTCAATGTCGTTTTGAAGGCACAACTAAGTCAAATTACTCTGAAAGCAACTTCCCACCAAAATCAAACAGTTCAAAATATCATTGATAGTTGAAACCACAATTTAAAAAATTATTTTTAAAAAAAGGCATTGCTTTCGAAAAAACTAACATATGAAAAAAAAAAAAAAAAGTATGAGGATTACAGCGATATATTTACTTAATAATGTAGTTCGATTTTGTAACTTTTATTAAATGAACCAAGTTTTTTTAATGTTTTATTTTTCAGCCAAACGGATTCAGACAGTCAACCACAAATGAAAAAGTACTACAAAAAAAATTTATTGAATTCCAATGGAACTAGATGAAAAAGCACATAAGGGCACTTGAAACTTACCATCTGTTTGGCACAGCATGAGACAGTGGTGTGGTTGGTGAATTATATTTTTTTTGTTTGATAAACATGTTCTTATTGCATCCGATAGAATGTGGCATGTCCTGCAATAATAAATAATGTGTTCTCTCGCTGCAGCTCGAAGGCTGTGTTCTACATTTTGATTTCACTTCACCCTTTTAGCAGTCTCTCTGTCTCTAAGCCATGTCTCTTTAACTCATCTCTGTTTGTGAAGGTTAGGTAACCCAAGCAAGGTTTTTTTCTTCTTGTCTTCCCTATTTGGCTGTGTTTGCTCCGATCTCTAAGGTATCATCAATCTCACACTGATTTTGGTTGGTTGATTTCTTCAAATTTTAGATTTCTTTAGGGATGTTATGTGACCTATGTGACGGCCCTAGCTTACGCTAGTGCATGTTTTGGCATTTCAGTTTCTTTGAAACAACAATCATAAAATTATGTAATCATAAAATTATGTTTTTTTTTTTTTTGTCAGTTTTCTCTATGAAATTTTGGTCCTCTGCAACTTAGCATTTCGGTTTTTTCAAACTCTATTTTGATAATGAAGTTAGGGTTACTGGTTGGCATTAAGATTTTTTTATGTGGGGAGAATTTCGCATGTGTTGGGTATGATTTTAGCATATGATTTGGACATTTCGGCTTACTGACTGCCATGGTGATTTTTATGTGGGGATTTGAGGATGAGGGAAAATGAGCATTTATGTTGGCATTTCGGTGAGACATTTTTATTTGATTTGATATCTTAATTCTTTTAATGCTTCATGTGTTTTTTTAAATCTATTAATGTTATATTTTCAGTTTCCTGTTGCAATATCCTAACCATCAAACTATGATTGAATTCTTTATAAAGAAATTCAAGTTTAGATAAGCAATGCTTGGTATTTTATGCTTGCAAAAATGCTTGATATGGTAGTTATCATTTCAGTATAATTTGATGTGAATTGATTATAAAATATGTGCATGAATAACTCTCATATTGAGTTTGAAGTGATTTATAACAGTTTGGCAATTGGAATAAATAGTTATATATGTTTCGCCTCCTCTCATATTCAATTATTCTGTTAATGCTTCGCCCACTTGCATGAGCTCGGGCCAACACATACTTGATATAGGCAAAACCACAGATCGTCCCCAAGGAAATAAAAAATTTGGTGAAACCAACCAAGGTGAGATCAAAGATAAAACCTTGGTCGGGATCACTATACTCGCATACAGAGGAGAGCTTGAGAGATAAGGTTTAGAGACGGAAGTGAAAGAGGAGAGCTAAAGAGGGGCAAAGTTTAAAATGATAAGCCAAAACGCAGAACGAGAGAGCACTTTAAAAATTAACGATATGTCAAGTTCTATAGAACACGATAGGAACGCGTAAAACAAACGATAGAAATGTGGTTCGCGAACCGCACCGCTGCCTCGACGCTGTGCCAAATGGACAGTAAGCCTTTCAAAATTAGTAGCACCGAAGATGACTTTGTTAGAATTTGCTGCAATAACAGCCTATAGATTAGCTCAAAGCCATTCGATCAAATCTATTTGGTTGGGCCAGCGGCATCCGATAGTTCCTATTGCCATAAAAAAACATTTAGATCTTTAGGCCATTGTTAACCATGCATTAATTTGTCAATAAATGCATAGTTAAATGATAGATACACAAATAAATTTATAAGGATATGCATACATATAAGGGCGTACCTATTGTGTGGAGCTCCTGGTAATATAGCGTTTAAAAAACCCAGCCATGCCCTGCAATTATATAGAGTTTAACCTTTACTAACTGAAAATAAGACCTCTAGATTACAATAAAAATAACCACAGTTTCAAGCCTGCACACATACCAGCACAAAAAAATGCATCTGCATATGCATGGATACAATAGTATACTTTCATTCAATTTTGTCCTACCTCAATCGATACGAGGTAGGAAGCACAATCAAGTTGGATCTGATGTGTAAAAGCCTCATTAGTCGATGCATTTTTCCATTTGAGCTCTACCCAAGACAGTTCTTATTAAACAAGAATAAAAATTTATTTCAAGCTCATTCAAATCCAATCATTTTAGATCTAGTATTCTAGATGTTACCAAAAGATATGTAGTATATTCATTTAATGCTTCGCTTTAAAAATGTGGAATGACTTCTAAAAATAAAATTAATAATGATATAGGTAAACAATTATCACTTGGCGTTAGGGGCGTGCATTATCTAGTTATAATAAAAAAGCGAATCAAAACGAATATTTTTGGATGATTTGATTTGATTTTTATATTTCTAGTTTGGATATTAGCTTAAAATATCAGAATATTTGATTTTTGTTATTGGATTGGTTGGCAATTCAAAACTTTAGTAAAACCAAAAATTGAAGTAATTTAAATATAAATATAAAATTTAAATATTTTCTCATTTATGTTTTTTTATTTCACGCTCCCAGTCATCCATGCTTCCTAGCCCGCCCTATCGCATTCAAATTTGACCTGTGTTGAATTTGAATCCTCTGTTGAATTTGAATCCTCTAAAATGTATTAACCCCACACAACATGTCAGCTGCTTTAATAAGTCATCATTTGTCTTTGCAAGCGGCGAGAACAATCGTTTGACTTTCCAAGCAGCGAGAACAACCATTTGTCTTTTCATGATTCACAGGCCATAGCAAGGGAAAAATATTACATGTGGAGTCCAGATGTTATTCTATGTTTGGACTCCAATAACAAAATGAAACGTGAATATATTAAATTTTAATTAATATATTTAATAAATGGAAAAGCTTTACCCGACCAGACACTGGCCCAATATTATACTAACATTGTTTCGTGTTTCAATTGCATTTTTGCATGTTTTAACCTTCGTTTTTAGGGTTTCGACCATTTTTGCGGGATTTTCATCACTGTCATTTCTCAGCTCTTCACCAAATCTCCTGTTTTAGAATCCAAGCTCACTTCCTCTCATATTTGAAACTATCACCAACGCTAAAAAAATATTGCATGTAGAGTCTGGACGTTACATCTGGATCCCAAAAATAAAATGAGACGTGGGCTCAAACCGACCTGATTTAACATTAAATTGGTTTTAGAAAAAACACGGAATTAATGCTTTGACAGACAAAATAAAGATGATGCGCAGGCAACAAACTAATAAAACGTATTCGAAACCCTAGACTTAGAAGAAAGCAGCTGCCAAGGAGAGCCACAGAGAATGGAAGATATGCACACTGAAAATAGGGAGCAGAAATCATCCATAAGTTTAATGAGTATAACATGTCTGCACTCCACGTTTCTCTGATTTTTTTAAAATTTAATGTAGACATACATGTCTACAACTTCATTGTTCTCTCATTTTTCTTCAGTACAACATGTATTTTCCATCACTCAATGATACTAAATTTGTTATTAGGGTCTAAGTTGCGCTCAACAAAAAATTTTATTATATTTGTAATGATTTTATATAAAGCTATTTTACTACAGTCATGTCAAACGCCAAGCTTTCTTCAATTTAGTGTGTGTTTTTATCATTCAATGTCATATAATTTGTTATTTGTGACTAAATACCTTTCAAAGAGAATTTATAATAGTTTAAAGTACGTTTTTCTATTGTATTAAATCACTACAATGTTGTCGTACTTTTGTTTTTTCTTCAGTATAACGCACGTCTTCAAGCATAGAGCGATAGCTAATTGTTAGTTGTGATTAGATTCATTTAATTACTATCTTTGGAATGGTTTGAACAACTTAAGTGTAGATATTATTGAATACAACCTGATTGGTCTCTCAGTGTTTTTCCTTTCCTGAGATAAAACTTATTAATTATAATATCTTATACAACAAGTGAACATAATTACATGTAATACAACCCTGCTGTAGCCCATATATCGACATTCCATTTAATTTTGTGATTAAAATGTTTTGTCCTAATTTAATGTCTTTCAAATCAATTTTTTTAATTTACAGGAAAACACAAATCTAAGGCTTTTTAAGTTTTTTTTTTAATTATTTTTCATGATTATTTTTTTTCAGTGCAACTGAAATTTACCCTCTTCCCCTTCAATACAACAATGTTTTAAGAAATGCAACACCTCGTAACCTTATATTTATTTTCTTTAGAGGCATTATAGTCTTCATTTTAGATTTTTAAACGATGATTTTCATATTTGGTTCAATACAATGTGGTTGTACTGATAATTTTCTTCAGCATAATCACGTTATGGTAGAGTTTAGGTTGCGAGGATGCTTATAAATTCATAATTTGTTGATTCATGATGATATTATATATTCCAAAACAATGGCATCTGTGACACCTTTAAATCTTTTCTAGTATTTTATTGATTCTTTTTTTCAATACAACCAAACTGTCACGTATTGTTTCCTTCAGTACAACAATATTTTAGACCATGGAATGCCTGCATAACCTTCCAATTAACTTCTTTCACTGAAATTTAGTCTCTACAATGCATAATTCACAGGTTATTTAGAAGTTTCCTTCACTACAACATGGTTTTACGGGATAATTTTCTTCAGTACAATCACATTGTAGTGGAGTTCAGGTCACGGGGATGCATATGGATTCACAATTATTTGATTCATGATGATATTATATATCCCAAAATAGTATAATCAGACGCATTCTTTATTTTTATATATTTTGTTGACTTTTTTGTTAAGTACAGCCGAACTTTCAAGTATTTTCCTTCAATATAACAACATTTTAGCTCATGGAACAACAACACAACCTTCCAATTATCCTCTTTAGATGCAATTTAGTCTTCATGATGTATAATTCATGGGTTACTTAGAGTTACATCGCACTACTTACTCTGTGCTTTAATCTTGTAAGCCTGACATCAGAAAAGCAATGGCCAAGAAAAAAATTGGCCAAAAGACCAAGATGGGACTTAACTTTCACTGCAGACCATCAACATTTCAATCTATGTGATGAGTTTCCACAACATATTACTGAAGATGCAACAACAATCCCAAGGGATTTTCACATCGAGCAATTCATAAGGATGCCTATTCTCAAACAGGATGTGTCTCTTGTAATCAATCTCCTTGAGCGCTGGAGTGTTGATAAGCACGTTTTCAGCCTAGGTGGACATGAGCAGATGTTTATCGTAGAAGTCGCCTTTATGATTGACTTGCCAAATAAGGGAATAGAGGTCAAGTGGAATAGGAAACCACCCTCTACATTCACCTCTATAAATTTATAAGAAAAATATGAAAAATAAAAGAGATACAGAAAATTCAATTAATTTTATTAGTAACTTTATAAAATTTCTTCTTTCTAATATTTTCTTTTCATACAGTAACTATAAAGTATTTAAGGAATTTTTTCTTTTTATGCTAACGTTGTAAAAGAATTTAGTTATAACTGACCCGCTACCATATTAACTTTATTAATATACCAACTTGACAAGGCAGATGAAAAGTCAAGACTGCAACTCCTTTGGGTACATGAAAGGATTCGTGACTCTTCTAATGGTAAAACAATTTATTTTAATTAGTAAATTTGACAGCATGTAAGATTTGCCATAATCCTTTTTTCTCGGTATTACAGATTTGATTTTTTTAGCATTCTGATGTTGTGTACCCCACCATGCTGTATTTGAGACCTTGTATCATGCGGTGGTCTAAGTCATTGCAAGTGAGAAGAAAAGTTGCAACTTCATTTTATCTAAGCAACAACATCATAAGTTTAAGCTTTTATAATATTCAATTTTGATTTTGAAGCATCACTATATGGAGTCAACATTAACTTGCTATATTTTTTCAAGTCTTTTATTCTTTTAGGGGAAAAAAAAAAAGATCAAAGAGACAGAATTAGTGTCTGAAATTTAAAATTTTTCTTATGATACAAGCATAACATCTTACTCGTCTTCTGATTCGATGGCTCATCCCCGCCCAATAATCTACATGCATGATGCTAGCGTTCCTCTACTGGAAGAAAGTTTGGGTGATGAAAATATAATAAAGTCACAAAATAATGTCCCAATAGTAGAGGGCAGTCTACTCGTTGCAGCTGTCAATACTCGAGGCCAAAATATCACAAAAATATATGGTTTAATGAAGACACTTGAGGACAAGGTATCTGAGATGGAGAAATCACTTAGCAGTAGAATCACCATGGCCAAAGAAAGCAACACTGCCATCTAAACATCTCCGGTAGCCCTTGAGAATTTGCTTGCTGAGCCGCATGAATCTCTCATGACCACTGACGCAGGGGAACTTCAAGTGGGAGAGGATGTTCAAAAAATGGATGAAGAGGTTATAGCCGAGTCTCATGACTATCCAAAGCCCCTTGCTAGAAGAGCATCTTCTCAACAATCAAACTCAGTAAATAAATCCCCCGCTGAGAAAACAATTTTCCAGTGGTCCGAATCAATAGCATTGTTAGTTTGGAAAACTCTAAATTTTGGTACATCATAACTTAATGAAAACTCAATGTGCAAGAGGACCCCGGAGAAGAGCAAGGATGAAAGTATAGCCAAAATGTTATGAAAAGAACTTCAAAAAAATGGGTTGTGATCAAAACCCCATATGCCTCATTTGATAAAAACAACGACGACCTCACAAGGTATTAAACTCACACTTTTAAATTAAAATATTGACAAAAAGAAATACAGTGATGGTAGTAAGTAAGACTTCGTAATAACAAATTGGAAAGGAGGTAGAAATGATGGAGGATCCTGCAGCAGCAAATGAGGCAAAAGAAAGAATCAATTATGACAGAGATTGTCAAGGTACACTACATCACGCT